TTCTACCTGTATGATGTTCTTGATGTTATCCCACAACTCTTCTGGTCTTGTGTAGCGATTCATATATTTCAATTAGGTTGAATTTGTTAATTTCGTTGTTCAAATTATCTGTCCTTAGTTTGTCTAACATCTTGTCAGGTATTCATTCATTGTTGTTAAGCGCCATCAAGTCAGTTCTGACTCATAGTGACCCTGGGTAGCATTTCTGAGGAGTGGTTGTTGAGTTTGAAATGCCTACTTTGTAGTTTAAACTGACTTTGCAATCTAGCACATTAACCCACAGTGCCATAACTATTTCTTCTTCTTCTTTTTAATTTAATTAGTTCATTTTATATATTTTTCAAACTTTATTATTGAAGTAATACAAATATATAATTTTGACATTTGTCCAATAGGCTGATTCCTCTGTCATTATAACAGATCTTTCCTTATAACTAGTAATGTATTTTGCTTTGAAAATTACTCTACACCAACTTTTCTTTTGGTTAGTGCTTGTAGTGGTTGTATAATATAACTTTTCTATTATTTTTTTTCAACTTTTTCTCATCCCCATATTTAAGGAGTGTCTATTACAACTAAAAACTCCTCCTGGTATAGTGCTGTAGGTTCAGCACTTGATTGTGAACTACAGAGTTGGTAGTTCAAACCTACTAGCTGCTCCTAGGAAACACTATACAGGGTCACTATGAGTCAGAATTAACTTGGTGACACTTAATAAAAACAACATTAGAAGTAAAGAAATCCTGGTTTGATGTCATAGGATAATCACTGGACTGCGAAGTTGGTTTGAACCACAATGTTGGCAGTACAAACTCACCAGCCACTCAGAAACCATATATCTATTTGAAGACAATAGTAAAAATTCTCAGCTTTCCTCCCCATGTATCCTGGCTTCAAATTCCTTTCTGAAAATATAGATGAGGCACTGAATATAATTTGTAATCTTATTGCCCTAGAAAATTAAAGTGACCTTTGGACCTTGTCTGAATGTTTGGCTTCAGTACATTATCATGACTCTCATTTCAAAACACATTATTAATATGTACATTTTATGAGATTTTACTGTGAATTTCTTCTTAAGCTCAGAAGAGCTAGTGGGATATACAAATTGCTAAGCAAACTCTTTCCCTACATTCTAGTTGGCTCAACAGAAACAGCATAGAATCTCAAGAAGAGAAAGCAAAATTCCAACTTTAAGGATTTACAAAGAGCAGAAGTAGATAATACAACATTTTACTTAAACAAATATGTATGGACAGTGAAAAAAAGTTAGCAAAACAATAGGTTTACTGTGAATTCTACCAACTGAATTCAGTTGTCTATCCTATAGCCTTGTGACTGTAACTAAATCAATTGACAGTACTTGGTATGCAGCCTTGGACACTGTCAAAACATTATTTTTTTTTTAGCTCCATTGGCACCCCAGAACAAAGACTAATTCTTATTCCTGTGATAAGCCCAAAAATATACAATTAGTACTTCCTTTGTTGTTGTTATGCGCCATGGAGTCGGGTTCGACTCATAGCGACCCTGTACAGGTTTTCCGAGGATGTAAATCTTTACAGGAGCAGAAAGCTTCATCTTTCTCCCATGGAACAGCTGGTAGTTTCGAACTGCAGATGTTAAGGTTCACAGCCCGATTCATAACCACTACTCTGCCAGAGCTCCTCGATTTTAAGTATGAGCAATTCAGCAATTGATGATCTGTTGCCCAGTCTATCCTGGCCTTGTTTTGGATGATGATATGGAGATTTTCCACTGTCTCTTTCCACAGATGTAGTCAATTTGATTTCTGTGTATTCCATCTGGTGAGGTCCATGTGTATAGTCATCTCTTATGCTGTCTAAAGAAGGTATTTGAAATGAACAAATCATTGGTTTTGCAGAATTCTATCATGCATTCTCCAGCATCATTTCTATCATCAAGGCCATATTTTCCAACTACTGATCCTTCCCCCTTTGCTCCCAACCTTTGCATTCCAATCACCAGCAATGATCAATACAACTTGATTGCATGTTTGATCAATTTCAGATTGAAGAAGTTGGTAGTATTCTTCTAATTCATCCTCACTGGCTTTAGTGGTTGGTGCATGAAGTTGGTACTAACTGAGCTTATCTGTAGGCACATGGATATCATCCTATCACAGACAGAGTTGTACCTCATAATTGATCTGGATGTGTTCTTTTTGACCATGAATGCATAACTATAGTCAATTTTATTTCTGTGTATTCCATCTGGTGAAGTCCAGGTGTATAGTCATTTTTTATGTTGTTTTAACAGATATTAGTAATGAATAAATCATTGGTCTTACAAAATTCAATCATGTTACATCTGGCATAATTTCTATCACCAAGACCATATTTTCCAACTATAGATTCTTCCTCTTTGTTTCAAATCTTCACATTCCAATTACCAGGAACTATCATTGCATATTGATTTCATGTTTCATCAATTTCAGATGGAATACATTTGTAGGATTCTTCAATTTTATCGAAACTGACTTTAGTTTTTGGTATGTAAATTTGAGTAATAGTTATTAACTGGTATTCCTTGGAGGCATATGGATATTATCCTACCACAGACAGCGATGTACCTCATGACTGATCTAGATGATCTAGCTCTTTTTGATGATGAATGCAATGCTGTTCTTCTTGAATTTGTCATTTGGGGCATAGTAAACCACATCTGATTCAAAATGGTCAATACCAGTCCATTTTAACTCACTAAAGCCTACAATATTGATCTATTATATCATTATGGTTTGCTCTAGTTTGAGGAGGCAGCTCTTCACAAGCTGCATTTTGAGTGCCTCCCAACCTGAAGAGCTCATCTTCCAATGTTATATCTGACAATGCTTCACTGCTGTTTATAAGGTTTTCAGTGACTAAACATATTCAGATATAGGTTGCCTCTTCTTTTTCCTAATCTGTCCTTTTCTGGAAGCTCAGCTGAAACCTACCTACCATGGGATGGTAGAGAGTAGACAGTAACTCAAAGTTTAGGGGATAGGTGTATGATAAGTAGTGGCCTAACTTTCAACATCACAGCAACATGAAAGCCACGACAATACTACCAATTGACACATTAGTGGTGGATACTGGGCCTATAGAGGCTTAAAGAAGGAAGGACCTTTCCCTAAAGCCACCAAAGAGAGAATGTTCTCCTAAAGCCAGCTCACTGAATTTGGACTTCCAGCCTCCTAAACAGTGAGAATAAATTTCTGGTTGTTAAAACTATATGCTTTTGGTATTTTTGTTATGGCAGCCTTAGATAACTGAGACAAAGTGTTATCTATGATGTTGCTAATACAGTCTTTTACACCTGGACAAATGCCTGGGGTAAGTACAGGACCGTAGTCAGAACTGACTTGATGTATCTAACAGTCACAACAAATGTCCATATAGACACTGAAGAAAAAAGCTACTTGTCTTTCTAAACTAGAACCTACTGACTAAAGAATTTTTTTCAGTTGGTTCAGGTTCTTTAACAATGTGATTGAGGTCAATACTGAATGTTCCCTCATCTTTTTGCTTAGAGTACTGTTGATATTAGCCTTAATTAAATACTACATGGGACAAATTGAATTGGTTTGGTCCAAGCCTCTGTTAATAAGTTTACTCAGTTACCAACAAAGTGGTGCAGACAAAGAAAAATCCATCATAATAGCACTCAAAACTAATCTGTGTAATATTTTTGGCTTTTTGGACTATTTACAATCCCACAATGGTTTTTCCTTTATTAAAAGGGTGAAATCAACTCAAGATTCCTGCACATCTCAGCATTTGTTCTCTTCTTGGTCTATATACTTCATGTTCTATTTTTTTCCCTCATTCTCAATATTTTGTTTTGTTTGGAGTTATAAAAATTTGTAACAATAGTACACTCTTAATATTACATTAATATTCCCTTGTTAAAATTATTTTGTTCATGCTTGAGTTTTTATAGCTTTAAAAAATGGCTACGCACTTTCATATTAAGGTTTGTTGTTGTTGTTGTTGTTGAGTGCTGGTGAGCAGCTGGTGAGTTTGAACAGCTGACCTTTAGTTCATATCTACCTTGAGGTTGAGTACTTACCCGATGGTGCCACACCAGGACTCCTATATTAAGGTTAGACTCGTAAACTACTTTATTCCATTTATAATATATTTTACAGAGTCACATTTCAATATCTAATAACTATGAAGATGTGCAAAAATACAATGACACTTCAATATCTAAACCTAGATGAACTTACAAATGTGCATAGGAGACACGAATCAACCTATTAAATACTACCTTGTTTAGAAATGTGAAAAAAAATTAAGGCAATTTTATATTCATTACTAGCCCGGAGTTAAATTAGTATAAATTTTTAGAATCATGAACAAATTAAGTGATATATTTATAAAATAGAATTACATGGCACAATTAAATTCTAAAATGAATTAAGTAGCTACAGATCAACACTAATTTGAATAGTATAATTTCTGATTTAAAAAAAGGGCAGAAAGATATTACAAAATGATACAATAATTTTAGAAATATTAATATACACATAAGCAGTAAAGACATATAAAACATGTATGAGAAAGATGGATTCTAACTTCAGAAGACTGATTACCTCCCCAGTGGAGGGAGGAGGCTAAATAATATAAGGAAGTGACGTACAGAAGTCTTTACAATATTCTTTGTGTTTAAAATATTGATACAATGGGATTCCTTGTATGGAACTGTAGGATAAGCACATGACTACTAGTTGGTTTGAACCCAAAGTCAGCAGTTCAAACCCAACAGATGCTCCTCAGAAACCCTATACAGGGTTGCTATGAGTCAGACTGACTTGACAGCACTTAACAACAAATGGCAAAATGCTTATATTTTCATAATTTAAGTACATCACATTAGGTATCTGCTTATAATACTCCTTATACTTTCTGTCCATTTGCAATATTTTACAAATGTATAGGAGTGAATTTTATACAAATGTTCTGAAATGAAAACAATGAAAAAAAAACATATACCTGCAAGTATAGATGCCACTTTGTGTGATAATTCATACTGATTTTCAATATATTTAGGCAAAAATTCAGCAACTCCAATAACAAGTAAATATTCTGCAGCTCTGGACAGAGCTAGGCACATAAACACTGGCTGCTTTATCATAAGCTGAAACAGAAATGTTCTATATCAATTATTTTGTTAGGCTATAGCAAAGCATACATTCATGTTTTAGTGATCAATCCATTAAATGTTTTAAAAAGAGCAATCCAAAAAAAAAAATCTGAAAAGTGACCAAAAACATATCAATAATATGATAACATAGAATCATATGGTGGTTAAATGGTTTAAATTGTTAAACTGGTTTTCTCCCCATCTGCCCACCCCCATAATGTGCTTTCAATACCACCTATAATTTCAATTTGCATAACTAATAGTTTATTGGAAAGGTTCATGAAAAATAGATAGGTCATTACCCAGGTATCTAGAACTTCCTTTTAGTTTTGTTTGCTTATTTATTAACTTATTCATTTTCTTAGCAAGTATTCTTTTTCACTAAAATATTAAAAAAGGAAAGTTAAGCAACCCTTGAAGAAAATTATGAGAAATATAATTAAAGATATACAATTACATTTAATTGTATATCACATAAAATTGAAATTCACACAAACAAAAAGTAAAGTTATAAACATTCTGAAATTAAATCTGCTTAACTTATTCAGAAAACTTACTAAGATATGCAGATATGGATATTATATACTATTATCTATTAGGCTAATCAGAGTAACTAACATGATATAACTTATATTGAAATATAAACTTCCAAACTAATTTCCTGTATTTTCTTAAATATTCATATGTCTGAAAATATTTAGTGATGTTTACAAATGGATTGACACAGTAGCAGCAACAATGGGATCAAATGTAACAATAATTGTGAGGATGCACAAAATCAAGCCATGTTTTGCTCTGTTATGAATAGAGTCGCTAAAAGTTGGAACCAACTGGATGGCACCTAAAACAACAACAAAACAGTCAGAGGAGTCCTTATGTGGCACAAGTGGTTAAGAATACAATTGCCAATCAAGAGTTTGGCAGCTTGAACCTACTCAGAAGTGCATCTGAAGAGAGTCCTGGTTCTTCTTCTGCTTTTCATAGGGCTCAGATTGAAAACCCTATTGTACACACAATTCTAGAACACCTGATTTTCTCAGACACAACCTGTCCATAGATCAAGAGACAGTCTTTTAAGCAGAACAAGATGTAATTTGCAAATTTGCAAATTGTTTGTCATGGATGTGTCCTTTCACCTCTTTCGGCTTTTGTGCTAGATAAGAGGATCACTGGTGACAGTAGTTAATGCACTCAGCTGCTAACCAAAAGATTGACAACATGAGGTTGTTAGCTGCTCCATGGGGGAAAGATGTGGCAATCTGCTTCTATAAAGATTTACAACTTGGAAACACTACAGGGCAGTTCTACTCTGTCCTATAAATTCATTGCAAATTTGATTCAACGCAAGGGTACTGATTTTGGTCTTGTGTATGCTGAACAGATAATCTGAAAAGTTGGATGATATGAGGAAACAACATAGCATCAAGAACAACATAGCATCAGGTTGGAGGAAGACTCATCAGCAACCTGCAATATGCAGATAACACAATCTTGCTTGTCAAGAATGAAGATGACTTGAAGCATTACTAATAAAGGTAAAATATGACAGCATTCAGTATAGATTACATAGAACGTGAAGAAAACAAAAATCCTTACAACTGAAGCAATGCATTATTGTTATTGTCATTATTATTGGGTGCCATCAAATAGGCTAAGACTCATCGTGATTCTATCTGTTCTCAACAGAAAGAAACACTGCTCAGTCCAGTACCATCCTTAAAACAATTATCACATTTGAGCCCATTGTTGTTGCCACTGTATTAATCCATGTCCTTGGGGGTCTTCCTCTTTTTCACTGACCCTCCACTTTACTAAGTATATTGTTCTTCTCTAGGAACTGGTCCCTCCTGATACACATGATCAAAGCACATCAGACGATGTCTCCCAATTCTTGTTTCTAGGGAGCATTCTGACTGTACTTCTTTTAAGACAGATTTGTTTGTCCTTCTGGCAGTATATGGTACTTTTAATATTTTTCTCAAAAACCATAATTCAAATGCAGTGATTTTTTTTGTTGTTTTCCTCATTCATTTTCCAACTTTCACATCCATAGGACAAATTGAAAATCATTATAAATAAAGTCAAAATTAAAGTTGTCAATGGTTTCATTCTACCTGGGTCAATAATAACACGGTAGAAGTGGGAAGTGATGTGACTCCATAAGCTAAGCACTGGACTGCAAACCACAAGATATAGCATACGAGTGATAATACACACTGTCTTGCATATACTGTCCATCTAGATATCATTGAATTAGTGAATCATAGTTATTTTTGTATATATTCCTAGTTCACAAATATTGTTTTATTCATTCATTGACCATGTACTGAGACTTGAATTTTAAACACAGTTCTTATACTACTGTTATATTATTTTAAGATATTATGCGAAATGGGAAATTTGATTAAATATGTTGTTGTTGTTGTTGTCAGGTGCCATCGAGTCAGAACCGACTCATAGCTACCCCATGCACAGCAGAAGGAAACAATGCTCGATCCTGGGCCAACCTCACCACCGCTGCCACCCCCGAGTCCATCAATGATGCCACCTGGCCGATCCATCTCGTTGGGGGTCTTCCTCT